TTCTCCTAGGTCCAACCATTAAGCCGCAGTCGAAACCTTCACCGAACGTGCTTTGTTTTCTCAAAACATCTCTCTGTTTTTCTCTGTAACCTTGGTACGTGAATAGGGGTTATGAAATCTAAAAACCCTAAGTCGCCATACTGTTCTATATATATATAGACTTGCATAAAACCCTATTCCCTGTATGAATGTATGATTACAGACAGAGCCCTAATGTCGATCTTAGTCAGCCCATATAGCAACCTAAGTTATAATATACATCGGCTATATATTCGTAACATCTTAGAGAACCCTACTGTTTAATACTATATCTGTTATTAATTTAATTTAATACATAATAATTGTTACTAATTTAATCTAATTACACAAATTTAATCTAAGTAAAACATTTAATTAAACTAATTTACACAATAACATTAATAATACTAAATTATTCCAATTAAAGAAAATACGAAAGATAATTAAATAAAACAATTCAATTAAAGAAAACAAGAACTCAATTAATTAATTAAAAGAATTAAACAATTAACAAATAAGCCAAATAGTCACACAAAAATACAATAAAACAATAATTAAAATGCCAAGACTATCCTTTTAAAATTAGGGGTATTACATTCTCTCCCCCTAACAAAAGGAATTCCGTCCTTGGAATTCGCTCTTACCTTCTTCCAATATTTCAGGAAACTGTGAGTGAATGACATCCTCTCGTTTCCAAGTAGACTCAGCCTCATTGTAATGACTCCACTGCATATGCACCAAAGGGATAACCTTATTACGAAGGATTTGATCCCGACGGTTGACAATACGACACGGTGGCTCCAAATAAGTTGCATCTGACTACAACTCAATCTCCCCAACATCGATATGCTGATACCGATCCTCATCTCGCAGAAATTTTCGCAACATGGAAACATGAAACACGTTGTATACGCGATCCAAATTATCTGGAAGTGTCAACCGATAAGCAACAGCTCCAACTCGATCCGTAATCATGAATGGACCAACAAATTGCGGAGACAACTTTCCTTTCTTCCGAAAGTGCATGACACCCTTCATAGGAGACACTTTGAGGAGAACCTGCTCCCCAACCCGAAACTCCAAAGCACGTGTACGACGCTGAACTTCCTCCTGCTCCTCCCGAAACTGACCATCATCATACTGAAAGCCAAGCATTTGCTACTCTTCCTCCATTTGCTGACGCCGCAGGCATTCTTGCTGCCTACGTGCCGCTCTCCTCTATCAACTATTCATGCTCTGTCCACTTCTAGTGTTAACCATGCTGTTAACATAGAAAGACAGACATCAGTACGAGTTTAAACGAACCGTAAAGGAATACAATGAATCCTAAACTTAAGCTCTAATTAAGAAAGAACGCTACGTGGAAGTCTTAATACAAAACATCCTAGAGACAATTAAACTTGGAGTGCTCTAATACCAACTGTTATATCCCTCGGATCCGAGACACAGGTTGATCAGGCCTAGGCCCATACCCGAGGACAATATCAAACAATTAAAGTATTTTAAAGCGAACACAAAATATAAAGATTTAAGAATTAAAAAAAAAACAAAGCTGAAAGATATATGGAATGTAAAATCCTCCAAAAGATACTGAATCATAATACTCCAATTCTCCAAAACTTCCAAAAGTACAACTCGGGAATCTATTTAGTGGACCCCTAAATAAAATGCCAACTGAACTGAATAACTAAACATAAAACTAAACTAGAACATAAAGAGAAGTCCTACGTAAGTAGATAAATAAGAGACTGTCCTCAACAAGCACGATCAAGCTCTATGGCTGGAACCGTCCTGCACCTGAAAAGAATAAAAGAGTGGGTAAGGCCCACGAACAAGTTCTAATCTAACTGCAATTCATACAGTGACCCGATACGCAGATACACCCTAGATACCTCACAATATCTATCTAGTCCATAAGTATATATATATCCACACTAAGGGACATTCACTGGACTACAATAAAGGTCTCAACCTGAATAGAAGGCAACGTGCGAAAACGCACCCAAAGGTGGGCATGAGTACCTAGACCTAACAGGGTACACCTCAACCTATCATAACCAGCTACGCATCCATTGCATATACGCACCCTAACCAATGAGCCTGAGACTCAAGCTCATCTCGTGGTACCATAACCATATACCTAAAGTCTGTCCAAAACCAGAGTAGGTTATTCAATTATTCATTAAGCTAACATACAATATATAGTCCCGTTAGTCACTCACCTTATTCAGTTGATATGACCTAATTATAACCAACTAATCCAGGAAGTCATTCAACTTAGTCAGTTGATCTGACTTAAACACAATTCAGGATTCAATATTTTACAATCCATTCCTTTAATCCGATAGGTCAGGTTTTAGCGTTTTGAGCTAAACCATCCTTAGTATGCCACCGTCCCATACCAGTGCATACAGTCCTCTATGTCCATGTAAATTACAACACATACACAATAGTTTAGCAATTTACAGTCCAAATCCATTATCCAAATAATTACAGAAGAATGTCTAATATTTCAGCAATTAAAATCTAATCGATAATCCATGAAATTGCAGAAAGAGATTTAATATTTCAACAATTAGCATCCAGAGCATGCATAGATCAAACCCAATAAATAGATGACCCTATCACTCATTTAAAATATGTTTTATAACCATACCATAGCCCATTAGATTGCTAAAATTTAATTAAGCAATTAATTCTCTTCCATCCGTTAACAGTATAATGAAATACATTAATTTGATACTGTTTGTCCCATTTACTTAGAGGTAAACTTTAATTAATTTAAGGTCTTAATAACACCCAAAATCAACTTCTTAATCCCTCTGTGAAGACCCAGATCCGTCAGAACAGTTCAATCCTCTCACAGTCTCAAAACAGTGCGTCAAAAACAATCAGAAAAGCAAAAATTGAGAGAGAGCCTGCTCCTTGACTTTGGGAGCAGGCTCTTTATGCTTGGAGCCAGCTCCAAACACCTTGGAGCTAGCTCTGTGAGTGTGGGAGCTGGCTCCCACTTCCATTGAGCCAACTCTCCCCTCCTTTGAGAGCCTCTGTTCCAGTTTCAGTCCGTTCAGCTCATCTGCTCCATTTCCAGCCATTCCAACCCCTCTGTTCCTCTTCAATACTGAACCTAGGAGTCATATATAATCCCAGTAGCATCCCCATGGTTTTTTTTACAGTAGTTTGAATCAATGACAAAGGTTAAAATTGCTACAGAATTAACATGCTTAAAGAAACAAAACTAAAACCAAACATGCACGAACGGTAACGGAATTTATTTCAACACATACAGATCCTCAACGAAGCATATAATAAACATGTAAATCTTAATTAATGATTAACTAAACCCTAGAAACTATCTAAGTGCACAGAACACGAGCCAACAGGAGAAAGGAAGAAAAGAATTTGCCTGTGATTTCAGTTATGAAATCTCGGTGTCGTGTCTACGTTTCTGGCAACATTGAAATACTGTCAAGCCTCCTATTGCTCCTGCTCTTCCCTTCTCCTAGGTCCAACCTTTAACACGCAGTCGAAACCTTCACTGAACGTGCTTTGTTTTCTCTAAACCTCTATCTGTTTCTCTCTGTAACCTTGGTACGTGAATAGGGGTTGTGAATTCTAAAAGCCCTAAGTCGCCATACTGTTCTATATATATATAGACTTGCATAAAACCCTATTCCCTATATGATTGTATGATTACAGACAAAGCCTTAATACCAATCTTAGTCGGGCCATATAACAACCTAAGTTATAATATACATAGGCTACATATTCGTAACGTTAGCCCTCGTGTTTAACTCTTTACGTTTGTGGTACAGGAGGCTTTTGACCATAAACTCAAAACTCTCATTTTCTTTCAAAGATTCAATCTTTATACATTAAAAAGGTCTAATGACATAATAGGTACCTTGATTGATGTTCTTTCATTCAAATATTTAATCTTTACTCATTAAAACACTCTTCGAGGCGTCGAAGGGAACTCGAATAAGTTTAACTCAAAACTCTCAATTTCTTTCAAGATTCAATCTTTATACATTAAAAAGGTCTAGTGACATAATAGGTACCTTTATTGAGGTATTTTCAGTCAAAGATTCAATCTCTGAAGATTAAAACACTCTTCGTGACTTCATAGGTATCTCAAAAAAGTTAAACTCAAAACTCTTATTTTCTTTTAAAGACTCAATCTTTATATATTAAAAAGGTCTACTGACATAATAGGTACCTTTATTAAGGTATTTTCATTCAAAGATTCAATCTTTAGTCATTAAAACACTCTTCGTGACTTCATAGGCAACTCGAATAAGTTTAACTCAAAACACTAATTTACTTTCAAAGATTCAACCTTTATACATTAAAAGGTGTAGTGACATAATAGGTACCTTTATTGAGGTATTTTCTATCAATGATTCAATCTTTAGTCGTTAAAACACTCTTCACGACTTCTTAGGTAAATCGAATAAGTTTAAGTCAAAACTATTTTTTTCTTTTAAAGATTCAATCTTTTTACATTAAAAAGGTCTAGTGACAAAATAGGTACCTTGATTAAGGCATTTTCATTCAAAGATTCAATCTTTACTCATTAAAACACTCTTCGGGACGTCAAAGGGAACTCGAATAAGCTTAACTCAAAACTCTCATTTTCTTTTAAGATTCAATGTTTATAAATTGAAATGGTCTAGTGACATAATAGGTACCTTTATTGAGTTATTTTCATTCAAAGATTCAATCTTTAATGACTAAAACACACTTCATGACTTCTTAGGTAAATCGAATAAATTAAAATCAAAACTCTCATTTTCTTTCAAAAATTCAATCTTTATATATTAAAAAGTTCTAGTGACATAAGAGATACCTTTATTGAGGTATTTTCATTCAAAGATTCAATCTTTTCTCATTAAAACACTATTCAGGATGTCAAAGGACACTCCCCCATCTGCTGTACAAACACTTGGTTTTCTTCCAGCCCATTTAGACTTTTTTCTGACCAATCTCTCCATTTTCTTCACCTTCCTCTTCAACATTTTCCTATTTTCTACTTCTCTTTCCATTTCGTTGCGAATTTCTTTAACGCAACGCTGCATACAAAATTGTAATTACTGTCACTAATCAATTTCTTATTCACAATTTCATTCATACTCATTAACCGTAAAGTAATATATCATTACCTCAACCTCACTTTCCGAAAAACTACCATTGTCTTTTTCACCTCCAGACCACGATGATGACGGAGACTGGGACATATTTGCCTTGAGAGGAATTAACTGTTCCACATAAATATTTCAAACCAAATGTACGTAAGCAAGGAAATGGTATCATATACAACAAAAATTAGGAACTTGCAAATACTTGTAAAATTTAGTCTCATACCTGACCCATTCCAAGACCTCCCATTTTCAACTCCCATTTTAAGCGTTCCCGTTCTAGAGCTGTGTCCCAAAAAGCAAGACTGCTTTTTTTACCCATGGTCGGATAACACGAGTATTCCACTTTACACTTCATCAGATATAGCAGCTGAATGAAAATGCAGCGACTTTAATCAGTCATGATTCATACTAATCACATAAATGATAAAGTTTTTTGCGAAATATAAGTACGTTATGTTATTTACCTGCAAGAAGAGCATGCATCCGATATACTGGTGCTTCATTTTCCCACCTGAGGAGAAAGATGCACCATTGAATTCTGAAAATGAAGTTGAGAGGGAAACATTTGACTCTCCTGTTGACAGAGGTGAAGAAGTAGAATGTTGCGGTATAGAGCATGCCCACTTTAGTCCAAGCAGCAATGACTTACTGAATAAGGATGAAAGGACAGAGTTGAATGATGTTGTGGGCATAGCTTTGGAGGAAAACCTAGGAGCAGCACATATAACTCCCACTTCTTTAGTCATTGATATTTCGTCGCAAAGTGTACATGGTAAAGGGAAGGATGTGCTAAAAAAAGTCAGAAGAGGTAGTAGGAGTAGAAACCCCACACCATATTGCTTCTCTCCATGGGTATCGAGGGATAGTAAAAAAATTCAATTGACTCCAAAGCAGAAGAAATTGTTGACTTATGCTACTGCACGAGGTCATGATCAAGACAAAGGGTAAGTGTAACCCACATTTGTGAATTTCATATAAATTATATTGTTGTTCATTGTATTATCCTTTGGGCCTTATTATTTACGAAGATCAATTGTATTAGTGGACGTATACTAATTTGTAAATACTCTGTACATTTGTTAGTGAAATTCTGGTTTCCATGTACGATATGCATCTTACAAGGATAGACATGCACCGGTTGTTTCACCTGAACTGGATCTCGAACTTGGTGCATTCATTTTCAATTAATTTATATGTATGTTTATGGTTATGAAATGATGAACCTATTACAATTGCATTATCTGTGAAATTAGTTTGTCAAATTCTGGGCAATGCTGTTAAACCAAGAGCAAGGAGGGAATCTGAAGCACTACTACTTTGATAGTTGTGCTGTCCAGTTTATGAATCAACACAATGTCATTAAACAGAAAACTGCAGAGCAACGCATGCCTTTGATAAAAAAAAAAAGTCTGGGAACAATACAAATGAGTATGTAAGCTTCAAGATTTGACCGTGTTCAAAGATTCCGAGCTGGTTAGTTTAATGATTTTGGAGTATTTTGTTATGCATTACAGTCTAGTAGAAGATGTTTTAAGTAGGAATTATTCAATCGTCCTATTTTTGACCAACATGTTTTGTTGTCCCTAACTATATCTTCATTACCATATAGTTATTCTTCCCTGCAATCATTGACAAACATTGGTTTCTACGTATTGTCAACCGACCCAACAAAGTGGTTGACTACCTATGCGGAATTGGACGACTGTACAGATACAAAGCATTTGGGGATTGTGTGGTAGACATTTATCTAATGAAATCATCCCCTTTTGTTAAAGTTTGGTTTACGAAAAATGCATACTTACTTCAGGTTGATGTGTATTATAGAATGAGTTTGTTACGGTTGCCCTGGGGGAAGAGAATTGGCCAGCTTACATAACAAAGACAGACCATAAAATCCCTCTCCAGGATGATCCGTATGTAAACATATATTTCAATACAAGTGCATAATAATTTTTTTTTTTAGTGTATCATAAATCCAATACTATCCCTTGCTGAGTACATCAGTTAAATACTATTTGCATATCAGGAATAGTTGTGGTGTGTTGGTAATAAGGTACATACAGTTCTGGAATGGCACTAACTTCATTCAGAAATTTTGTGTAAGTAGTGTTATCATTATTATTTCCATATATGTGTAAAATACATAAGGTACAAGTTATACTATTGTTTGGCAGTAACATTTTGTAATATTGCAAGTACACTGTAAGCCAATGCGTTCCGAGTTCCTATGAAACTATTGGATCATCCCAGGAATAGAGTCCGAGAGGAGTTATATAAGGCTACCAAAGTTAAAGAAGGAGATAATTGATGTTAATGCTATATTTATAAGGTAAATTGTGAGAGTGGGTAAGTTAGGTCTTGCTTGGAATGAAACTAGGTAAACACAAATCACACTGTCCATGAAACTCATCATCTTTCACAGGTACTGCCTTAATAAAAATTAATCCGCATAAAGTATAGATGAACATACAATCGGAAAAATTAAATTAATAGACCTAACAAATGAAGTATAGACACACCTATAAAGATTGGCTTAACCTAATGAATATTTGCTGAACACAGACAAATATGAAGTTATGAACCAAGCACTGTTTTGTATGAACAAAGACAAGGTTGAATTTCTTTTATTTGTGAACGATGAAATTGTAGCTATAAACCAATGATATATGAGACTCGGGTCATATGCACCATCCGCCTCTTAATATATGTGACAGCCCAAGTTTTGTAAACCCGGTGCATCAGTGATGACCAAAAGATGACCTAATAACAGATCCGAAATGTGGAAGCGAAAGGTGAAACAACAGTCTCTAGAGATACAATGCGTCTCTAAGACACCAATGTGACCCTCAATGACGTCACAGAACCCAAAGGAAAACAAATGCGGAAGTGTGGTTTCAAAAACGGACAAAAAGGAACCTAGGGGCAAAGTGGTCATTTTGCAAAAAAATGGATTTAAGTGCTATCGAGTACACCACTGGGAAGACAACGAAAAACTGTTAATCAAGAATCGCATGATTCGGAGTCCGGACGAAGGAGAAACGACAAAACAAAGAAAAACGAGTAATAAAGCTAAAAGGGTAAACTGGTAATTATCCAGAAATATTCGAGTGTAACCGAGTAACCGTTGGATAGACAATGAAAAATTAATCAATTTCAAAAAAAAAATCACTTGATTTGGAGTCCGGATGAGGGAGAAGATCAAAAACAAAATCGACGTCGTGGCGGCCAGACGAAGGCCGTGACAGTTACAGTGCCGTCAACCCACTACTGCTGCAACTGAGAGTAAAAATGGGTATCTAAACGGACTTTTTTTGGAAAAACTCAAAGAAGAAACCCCCCCTAAAATCAAGTTTTCTACTCGACTCGCAAACGAAAACAAAAAAAAATGTATTGTAAAATGCCCAAAATACCCTCAAGAAAATCAGGTTTAGAATTTGAAAATTGTTTCAAGCTACTGCCCAAAGAAAGGAAATGAGGCTTTGGAAGGTTTTTAAATTGCCTAAATTGAAAATACAATCTTAAAATACACCCACAAGACCCCCGAAAGTTTCGGATCGGTCGTCACACTTTTCAAAAAAAAGTCGATGAATAGTGTCAAGTACATTTGCACTAAAGTTGGCAAAAACCTAGCAGCAATGATTTTTCGGAAAAAAAATAGATTTTTGAGGGCCAATATGGCATTTTCTGGAAAAACACAAAGAAGAAACCTCACTTAAAATCAAGTTTTCTATGTGAATCATGATTAAAAAAAAAAAAAAAAAAAAAAAAAAAAAAAAAAACGCATTTTGAAATACCTGAAATGCCCCTGGAACAGAATAGGGTAAAACTCCCTAAAAATGCTACTTATAGTCTTTGTTTCATTAAGGATGGTGTTGTTTGCCAAAGTGAGCATGTAAGCATATGTAATGTGATAAAATAGACATGTTGCAATGGCCTATGGCCTTATGGCATGTCATATGCAAAATAGAACCCTTCAATACATTAATCCACATATCTTCCATAGGCAACAATGAAGTTCAAAGTTAGTATACATTTCACATAAGTGTCTTTGGCCCTTGGCCTCATTAAAACCACATTCTAAGAGTGTCAAAAGGTGTACTTAAGTGTACATTACATAACTTAGACAATAAGTACAAGTTTTTATCAAAGTAAGCAAAAGTAGAACAAAATATGCTAACATATACATATTCTATGTTATCAAAAATACTTCAAGAACTCTAGTAAGTCTAAAAATGTTGTGCATCCCACACTAAGGCTTCTTTACCTGCAAAACACCCATTAACCTAGGGGTGAGTAAACAAGTTTACACATAGGGAATGCATGGGTTTATCTTTGTACCAAGTTACATTCCAATACCATTTAATTCATGCTATCAAGTGACAATAGAACTTTCAACATAACACAATGAGATGTAATTTCACAAAGTTAACAACTTGGAATTTAAATGCGAAATCAAACCAAAGTGGATACTTGGACGTCACACTGGATCAAACTGACAATGTGGTTACTTTAGGGTTACTAGCCCATGGGTAACCTTCCTATATGCGCACTAGACTATATAGAGGGACAATCCCCTATACTAGAACTAAGTTCTAGCCGTAGCCAAACAACGACATCCCCAAGTTTCCAAAATCAACAAATTATGCAACAACGTGTATATATCAACATGTATATACAAGATATCAACTATTTACCAAGCACAATCTAAATTTGGAAACCTATACAATACATGCTTAAAGTTTACAACTACTATGGCATGAAAGATGTCAAATACAAAGTGTGCAATTCCTTACACATAGCAACAATATATTCAATAAGGAAAAACATGTTCTCATGAATATAAAAGTAACAACTACGTTATCTAATGCTCAAAAGTAATCAAGTGAACATACGCCAAATCCAAATCCATGATTTAAATATAAAAATAACTTCCAAAATGCAATTAAATCCATAGAGTAATAAAGTAGAATTTAATTAAACATAAATAATTAAATTCTCTAAATTCCAAGTTAATCCTAAATAACCTCAATTTAATATATATTGAAGGACATGTCATGGTCATCACATATATAACATCAAATGACAATTTAAGTGATTAAAACACTTAAAACAAAATTAATCAAGCTAATTAATTAATTTTCTCTAGATTTTTAAACAATTCCAAATGCCCTCAATTTAATCTATGTTAGAGAACATGCCGAGGCCTATCCAAATATCACATTACATTATGATTTCATGCTTGCTATCACCATGTGAATTAAACTTTCACAAAAGATAAATATTAAATAAATTTTGCAATTCTTATCCAAATGCCCCAAATTTAATATATGTTGTAGTACATGTCATGGTTATTATATAAATCACTTCAAAACTTGATTTAAGTCATAGGAGCATATAAATAAAAATTAATTAAATTAATTCATTAATCCCTCTAGATTTTAAAACAACTCTAAATGACCTCAAATTAACATAAGTTATGAATCAAGTCATGGTCATGTTATTTATCAAGTCTAAAGTAAATTACATACAAGTTACAATTAATCATTTATTTCTCATTTTAATACAAGACAAACATATAACTTCGATATCACTATAGGAACAAATAAAATCACTTGGAAGATAAATGATAACACCCCCTACCTCACAAGAGGATTGTTCCTCCTGAATCCAAGGGAAGCAAGCTTAAAAATGAAAAACCAAACAAAGGTTTTGTAGAAGAAGAGGAGAGAAACAAAAAGTATTCCAAGGTCAATGATCTAAGGTGAGTGGAAGGGCCTCAAAATTTAAAGTCAAAGCTTAAGGTTTTAAGCTTTCTTCAATGGAGTCTAGGGTTCTTATGTGTAGGATAATGTGAAAATGAAAAAGATGAACTGTGAGTAGAGGATTTAGAGGTCCTCCACTCACTAGGTGAACCTACACCATGGTCAACACACACACAAAATGCAAGACTAATTGTGAGCCCTACACTTGTCATCATCCTAAGGTTCCCTTCTAGAATTAATCCTAAGCCTACACTTGTCAACCATCCAAGCCAACTAGTGGTCCAATCTTAGGTCAACAAGTGGATGAATCTCCACCCTCCATATGTCATGAGATTAAGCCTCCAAGCCACCACAAAATCAACAAGTGGCACCATAGGAATATGACACTTGTCACATTTTTCAGAAATTTTCAAAAGGTCCTTTTTGAAAATATCTTTCAATTTAATTTGCAAAATGGTCCCTAAGACGAAAAATAATTACTTTACTTAATTACCCAAAACCCCTCAAGTTGTGGATAATTATAAAAAGTCTTGTTTTCAAGACTTTTACAAAGAAAGTAAGCATTTAATATGCATTTCTACAGAAGTAAAAATGTAGATGTCATGGAATTTAAATATCATGGACGTATACAAAATCGGAATCAAATCCGAGCACAAAAAATGAGGTTATGCAAGTAAAAGTGAAAAACGAGAAGAGGACGAAATAAGGAAAAGACGAAAAAATGAATAGTGTCAAAAAACAAAAAAATGTGGAAATGACTCGGTCCTCAAAGGAAGTTGTCAATCCAAAGGAAAGAGTCTCAGAAACCATTTCCGAGCACTCGAGACAATACTAAGAGGCGGGAAATCGAACCCAAAAAGGAAAAGACAATGAAAAAAAAATTTATCCTCAAAATTTGAAGAAAGGGAAAGAAATGAAAATGACCGGGTCATTATAATATATCTGTGCTTTTGGAATGAATATAACATTATTGATGAGTGGATTACATGTTTTATTAATTTATTTTACAGTATAGATGCTACCAACCTTTCATGGTAATTAATTGTTTGTTCTTATGAGAGAGTGTATTGACAGCTACACAGTGTGTGTATGTTACATTCCAGCTGGTGTATTTACATATATAAATATTGGTGGACTATCAATGCTGTCAGCTGCAGCCCAAAAGAAGGTGTGCTGGCAAGGGTATAAAGGTACTATCACCTCTACAATGTCATATTTGCTTCCCTCACCGATTGGAGGACCTTAGCTCATATCTATCCATCCATTTTAGGCCTACATCAGCAAAGGTTCTGAGTATAAATGGAAGGTTATAGTTGCTGCAAGACTTAAGCCCTAAGAATAGATTTTTATATGTGTTAGAGGCTATTCTTAAGTGAAATGTGAAGAGGACCTAAATGATTAATTCTAAGCAGTGATTTAACCATGTAAAGTTAATTTAAATATCAGAAATTAACTGTGTGTGCAATATCTCTTCAAGACCTACAAAGAATTAAGTGCTGCTGTTGTGATTTGGCTGCTGTTCAGACTGTTGGACTGAGGTATCAAATATTGCTCTAGAGGTTGAACGAGCTGGAAAAAGTTGAATCAAGTTGAATACTCTTATTTACATCTGCTGAACTCAGGTATTATCTTAAAGACACACATATACAGAATTTGATACATTTAAGCTTGTTGTTTGAATATTTTGAAGTAAAATTCCTGCTGTGCTGATATATAATGATTTAACCTACTATCAAAGTTGTGGTAACCATCTAAGCATGTTTAACTTGATGATTTGAAACTGTAAAAGTTGGATTAAATTTAGAAAATGGACAAGTCTTTGTGTTGGCCTTGTAAACCTCAATTACCTAGGGTTTCAACCTCATTGTTGTGAATTGAGAACTGAATATGAGATATCATGCTGCTATCTTTGTTATCTTCATTTAAACATAAGTAGAATGCTTATATAAGACTGTGAGAACCTGGACAAGTCCTGACAAAAGTCAAAATTCCAGTTCTACCCTTTGAGTAGTGTTACTATTGATTTAAGCCTAATCTTGCTTGTTGTGAGCTAAAATCTGTTAAAATGTGCATTGAAGTGTTGTAACTTGCTTGATTCATCAATCTTATATATTAAGCAAGTGTAGGGTATTGTTTGGCAACTGAGATTACTGAGGTTTAAAATGAATAGAGGTGGTACATTATCTGTGTAAAGCTATTGCTGCTAGCTGAAGTGTTTCTACTGAAAACAATCTGTTTTGGGGCTGAAAGTGTTTTATCTTGCTGTGATTAATGTGTTCATCATTTTAACAACTGTATACTGAGATTATAACGGTTTGATGACATTGAAAGGGGTTCTTACAGAAGATACTCTGTGAGTTGACAGATTTACCCTTTGAAGAAGGTTTAAAGTGTATTTGAGCTGAATGGTTGACGGAACTTGCTATTCACTATCCAATACGTATTTGTGCAAGTATGTTGAACTGAGACAAGGCTGTGGGAACCTAGCTTGAGCATCAACTGAAGCTGCATTGTGTTTTAACAGTTTTATCCTTTGATTGCAAAAAAGTGAAGACTAAGGTTGTACATTGTTCTATTTGAGGCTGTGTATTGCATTTTGTTATTGTTGTTGCAGCTGAAGTTGTATGTTGTACATGTATTGACATCTTACTCCATTGGTGATTTAGCTACTGAGAGCTTGTAAGTCCAAGCAGGGTTGCTTTGGACAGGGGGAGTGCATGTGTGCACATTGGTGAGCTAGTGTGTGAGTATTGGTTGTGAAAACTAGTGTCTATTCTTGTACAAGGGTGTGTACAGAGAGTGAGACATCTGAGTGTGTAACAAGATACTTTTGCAGTACGTGGATGCTTTATTGGCTAAGGCCAAGAACCAAGGTTTTTCCCTATTGAGAGGTTTCCTTTGTAATTTTGTATTATGTGCTTGAGTTGTGATTGATTGGTTTTGTTTTTAAAGAGAAAAGTTTTTAATTAGACCAATTCACCCTTCCCCTCTACGTTTTGTGTGACAAAGGTTTTGTTTATATTCAATATACTCCTATCATTCAGGGAAAAAAAAAAAAAAAAAAACAAATGTTAAGCAATGTGCTGAAAATAGTTATACAACAATACTCACATTCATTAACACGTGGTAGGGAATTGCTCCACTATGACTACTGGCACCTGCATCTCTGGATTGAAGGGCTTCATTGCAATTCTACAACACAATTATGAAAATTATTACGTATGCATAATTTAATACACACAACTGGTATTACTTATGAAACTACTTGGAAAACAGTAAAGGGATAAAAGTACCTGAAGCTGAACTGTTTTTTTCAATGATTTTCTCTCATTGCAACTCTTTAGCTCCATGGTTGATTTTAACCTCTTAAATTTTCCTTTCCGTGTATCTTTACACTTGAGGCATTTAGGGATTTTGTCAGTATTTATGTTGCTCCCGTGATATTGGTTTTTGCCTTTACCAGCAGTATAAATTGCATTCTTCTCAGCAAACCTACGCCTACAACTTGATTGGGCAATTTTTTTCCACTCCATGGCTTTCACTAACAAATCATTGTATCCGTTCTTATCCTCTGATACAATGGACGAAATTTCTGTCAGAATGAGACAAAGTACCTTGTGCCGTCTCCTAACCTCAATTTTTGGATCAGCATCAGCAATCACTTCACCGGAAAGATTTTCCTCCAAGCTACCATCTCTTACACTTCTAGTGCACCTTCTTAATATATATCGACGAGGCAATGTATTGGCGAACATGGAGTCCTTTAGGATTTTCAAAGTATGCCTGCACATAATACCCTCCCTTTCAAATTTACAACGAGAACATAACAATTCATCTTCAGATGTCCTCGTGACGTTGCGTTGCATTCCATCCTCACCAACGACTTTGTTAACATAGCCTTCGTTACCCTCGATGAGACTGCAACCAATGATTCTCTGACTGGCACAAGCTGCTAAGAACTCCTCCTGGAAACTATTAAATATAACCTTTGTGTACATGTTTGCCGCCTCTACTAATATGTTACAGTTTGTTTTCAGTTGAGGTAGATTATGGAGTACCCCATACTCGGCTACATACTCCTTGTAATGCTTGTCAGACAACAACCTTTCAAAGTGTGTGAAGAAATCTGGAAGAATTAGTTGCCTGGATAAGTATGCCTTCAAGCAACCATTGAAGCTTTCACTCAGTTGTGTGCTGTGGATACCCGCGGACCAGGCATGTTTAATAAATACCATGGCCCATCTATGTTTCAAACCTAACAGATTTATAAGCCACATGTTACCAACAACACCATATTTCATTATCATTAAATTCCATTCCCTGGTAAATTCTTCATCCTCCTCAATTTGAAACATAAATTTTGATAACATCTTCTTAAAGCCTTGCGCACGTCTAAACAAGAACCCTAGATGCTTCTGTACATTTTACATTAGGTGCCAAACACACAAATAATGTTTTGTCCCAGGCAGTACCTGCAGAATTATTTTCTATAATATAACTACGTAATAAAGCAAAAGGAAATGCAAAGAGTGAAGATTTGAATTGAAATCACTTGCGTTAATGCCTTTCCCATTGCAGCATCTTGATCAGTGGAGATCGTCTTTGGCACTTTACCAGACATTGCTTTCAAAAATGTTTCAAACAACCAAACAAACGACTCTGCAGTCTCATCAAACATGAATGCTGCTCCAAACACAGCGGTCTCCCAGTGATGATTCAAACCCAAGAAACTTCCAAATGGACGGTTGCCATGTACAACTTTGTATGTTGTGTCAAAACTTACAATATCTCCAAAATTGCAATAATCAACTATCATTTTTGAATCAGCCCAGAATATGTTAGTGATCATTTGATCACTATCCAATTGGAATGTATAAAAGAAAGATGGATCTTCACAAGACTGAGTCTCAAAATAATTCATTAGCTATGCTGCCTCTCCATATTCGAGCTCAGTTTGTCTTCGGGTCCTTATATGGTTTAGCAAATCCAACTTCATGTATCCGACTGATTCTTTTCCACCAGCTTGCCTTCCCATCAACTCATATGAATTGCGAGGGTTTATTCCTGAATCAGAAGCCAATTCCAAATCAAAGGCCTGAACGCGGCTTATTCTACGCTGTGACGGCAGCATGTGCAAGCATTCATCAATCATCAATGGATGGTTGTGGCTTTCAACAAATTTTGTAACTTCAAACTTATGCGTATACTTGGAAACTTGTATAAGCATTCGAGTAAGGCAACCAGTTCTTGTTTCGGCCCTAAGAGTCTTTGTATTACTGTTCCGAATGTCATCACCCCTGAAACCCTCCTTGCAGCATGTTAATAATCTCGATGACAGTTTACCAGTCTTCTTGACTCTTTGCGGATGCTAAAACTGACTCGACCGACATATGAATTATAGAAATCATATGCCTCTTCCTCAGTTTCAAACTTCATACCTATTATTGGTTTCCATTCTACGACATCTGCCCCTACAATATGAGAGTTTTTTTATATATGTGGTGTCTTTGATGTTATTTAATACATCTTCCATTCTAACAATTCAAATCAGAAACCTACAATAAAAAAAATAATAATAAAAAACGTTTCAACGAAGGCCTGTGTTTCAGGTATGAATTATTAATTCGAAATATTTTCTGACATATTAACATAATTCAAGATAGTATAATGTATCAGGGAACCAACTTCCTCAACTGCACTCATCATAATTTTGCTACGACTAACAAAAGAAATGATTTATTTCACTTTTTCCATCTAAAACATGCACTTCCAACCTTTTTGGGCCTCCTATTTTCAAACTAATTACAACTATGTTCAAGTATTCATTTAACTTTTTCCAAATCAAACATGGACTTGCAAACTTTTTTTGGCTTATTTTGAGAAACATTACAACCATGTTAAGTTAGGGGTCTAAGAAGAAACAACAATAAGAATTGAAAAAACATTTCCATGTCAAGAAACCAAGTAGTAGTATGATGCAGCTAATCATGCAACCAAACAACATCCCAACTAATTTGACAAATTAAAACAAAGACAAACCAACAAGAATCAAATATTAGAGAAAGAACAGGAAAAAACTATAACATTTGTAAAAACTGAACATGTTATTAGCCAAAGATAACTATACCAACAGACTAGAACAAAAAAGAGCATAAATTTTTACCCAAAACTGAAAACTAAATAGATAAAAATTAATAATAATAATACTAATAATAAGAATAACAAGAGAACATCATGAAAGCTACCACACAGATAGTAACAGAGTTAATTAAGTAAAATAAGAGAAGGAATCCAAACATCATGATCAAAGAAAATACACTCCAAATAGCATTATTATTAATGTATAATCAGAAGCAAAAAAACTAAACTAACAACTTCATTTCTCTTATTTTAAAGAAAGATACATACCCAAAAGACATAGACAAATCCATTGGAGTAGCAAGCATAGTGCCCATATCTCTCAAAAGGATTAAAACCCATGACCTTTGGATAAAACCACATTGCCTTCTTTGCAACTTCAAGTCCCAGAGAACCCATTGTCTCTCTCTCTCTCTCTCACACACACACACACAAACACAGTGACTTTAATTCCTAACCCACTGCTCACTTCTTCACAAACATGAAGAAACAGGGGAAGATAGAAATAAAGGGTCATAAGGACATGAACAAGCCAACTATCAATGTCAATAGACATGACAAGATGGGCGCTTTGAAATCTAAATCACTGTTACCACCAACAACAACAGAACATTGTGGTGAAAAGAATTTGCATTAGTTCTCCTTCACTCTTTCATATATCTAATTTACTCAATAGGTTTTTTTTACTTCATTGTTTATTTGTTTCCTTACTTTTTCCACTTGTGTAGCTAACAATAATGAAATGTGCGAGCATTAGTTTGTGGGAAATGATGGGAAGGTTTCCGGCTTATTTTGAAAAACATTACAACTATGTTAAGTTATTTATAATGAACAATCATAACTCTCAATGGAAACTTACATGTCATACACTGGAAAATTTATTCTAACATATTAAATTGGAAGTGTAAAACCTCCATTTCTTATTATACAGAATATCCCAAATATATTGTAGTACTTATCATGAATGAAACACTGCATTACAGGAATACAATGGAAATTTTATTCTAACATCTTTAATTGGAAGTTTAAAACATAACATATAATACAGAATATAACAACTTTTTCCCAATTTCATAATATAATTTTCACAATTTCTGATTCAATTTTTCACAATTTAATAACACTTCAAGAATAACCAAACAAAACTAATGAAACACAATGTCATACGATTCACAAATTCACTTACAAAACCAGTAAACTGTAGCTTCGTCTTCCTCGGCCTTAAATCAACCACACGACACTGCACCTTCCTCTTCCCTGCCGTTCAATTAAACTTTTCCAAAGAAATTGTAATTATGGAAAGAACAAAATTAAGGAAAGCTGGAACAATGTAGGAAGGACCAATTTATTTCTTTCTATATTTTGGGAGAGAATAAGAAAGAAGATTAAGAACAGGCGCTATACCTTCATCACTGTACCTTCCTCTTCTCCGCCCTTTAATCAAACCTTTGAAAAAAATTGTAAATTTGGAAACAAGGAAGAAAAATCGGGAGAGAAAAGCAAGAAATAAAATTACATATTTAGAAGAGGCAATTCGTCATTGTAGATTCCTCTTCTCCGATGTTCAACCAAACCAAACCTTTGAAAAGAAATTGTAAATTTGGGAAGAAGGAAGAAAAATTGGGAGAAAAGAAGAAGAAACAAGAAAGAAGCTTAGAAGAAGAGGCACTAAATTTGTTCCAGAATTTCCAATTTGCCGCTTAAACATGAGTTTCAATTTCTGTAATTTCGTATCTGTGTGTATGTATAATTTTGTCTGTCTGTGTATTGTTTGTATATGTATCTTTGTGTGTGTACCTTTTTTACCCAAAGTCCTGTTTAGCCCTTTTTACCACTGCTACAGTGTCTGAACAGTGCGAACATGAGGGAACAGATTATACTATTCCACAGGAGAGGATTCTAGTCCCTATTCTTATGGGGCCATGGGGTCTTAAATCTACTAAATCTTGTAGTAGTATTAATCAGACTTAAGACCCAACAAATAAACCTCCCGCCCAAATTATATGAGATTTAAAATTTAAAATTCAATAGTCAACATGCTAGCTAGCTGTAAATCAGTACTCTTTGATATAGAATGTTAAAATAGTTATAATTTACAAGAAGTGACTAAAGCCACAGTGTAAATAGACTATTCGAGTCTTCAACAGATCTAAAAAAAAGTTATACACTATTATTTCGTTAGTTATTATTGCATCAATCAATTTTTTATATTTAATTTATTGCTCTTTTTTCATGTTGTATTAATTTAGATTGTTTATAAATTTAATGAATTTTTCCTTCTTTTTTTTTTTTTTCTTTCATTCTTTTCACCATCTATTTCTTCATGAATGGCATACACGTCCTATTTTTCTATAATCACAGCTCTCAACACTGAATTCAGTGGGAACATTCACATGATAATTAATTTTTTTCTCTCTATTTGTCGTCTTGTTTTCTTAGCTTCTATTTCTATTTCTATTTCTATATGCTTATTCTTTTTTTTCTCTTCAATTACTGAAAAAGATCTCTCAAAATTCCTGGTCACTAATGTGAGGTGAGAGTTTCCATATTAGAATATTCCTGAAATTTTTTATAGTCCTGAAATTTTTTATAGATATACTTAAAAATTTCTTGTTTTGCAAATTGTTACGTGGATATAAATGCCTGGCCACCATATAATATTTTAAATGAATCAAGCTCAAGTACTCAACAAAAATGTATGGCATTTAAAGAGAGAGAGAGAGAAAAAAACTTTATATATATTAATAGTGAATTATCTTAAAACTTATTCCGTAAGGCAATTGTTCAATTTGTTCCAACCTATCTATTTTTTATTTTATTTTTTTCTTTCATTTGTTTTTTTTAATAAAAATATCATCCAGATAATAGGAGTGATGTTTTCATCTCTAGAATTCTTTTTGGGCCTCCAGTCTTAAATTTATTAATCTAGTAGTAGTAATAAGATGCACAAAGCAACAAACAATCCTCCGGCCAAAATTATATAAGATCCAAATTTTATGATCTAACATCCTAGCTATCAAGTAAATCAGGACTCATCGGCATAGAATGCCATAATAGTGACAATTTGTAACAAGTGATGGGAAGTTAGAAGTCAATACTGTTCATAACTGATTCGATTCTTCAACTGATCTAAAAGATTATACACTATACTTTCTATGTTTAATTTATTATTATTGTTATTATTATTATTATTTTAGTACGTTGATAAATTTAATGAATTTCGACTTCTTTTCACTATCTATTTCTTCTTTCTTTCTTCGTGAATGACATACTATATCCTTTTTTTTTTACAAGCAAGACTATAAATTGCATGCATATTTAAAGTTGTTGTTTTTTTTTTTTTTTTTTTTTTTTTTAACTAATGAAAAAATTAAAATTAAAATAAAGTAATAAAAAATGTTATGTAAATCTGTAACAAATATGTATTATTAAACACTATTATTATTTTATGCGTTCAAAATTATGACAACAACAAGTGTTAATAAACGTTATTTTTGCTTTTTATTGTCACTCAAGAAAACAAAATTATGTTTCTGCTTTCTTGAGACTGCAAAAGCAGAAAATGAAAACATTATTAAACGCATCCTAATCTAATACGAAATTGACAAGCAATAAAGACAGTAGAATAAGAGATACGAAAGTATAATTTTGTTTTTTTGAGATTGCAAAAACAAGAAACAAAAATATTACTAAACACACCCTAATCTAATATGAAATTGAAAAGCAATAAAAATAGTAGAAGAGAACCTGAACTTCTTATTTCTCCTGTCGAATTGTGCATCTTTGCAATACATTACACTCCTTTATATACAGAGGATTTTCAGCACCTATTACACTGTACTTTACTCATACACTTTCTCACACACTCATACAAGGCACCCAATACAGAATCCACTTCAATACATAATCTCCTTCTACACATCATCCTTTGTCTAGTACATGGTAAATGATGAAGTGGACCCATTATATTACAACAATCTTTCAATTCCAAAAATTCAATGACAATTCCAAAAATTCAATGATTAATACATATTTCTTTTCCTTTACCACCATAAAAAATAATTAAATTACAGAATTGGAATAGTTTAAAACTTAAACATTTAATTCAGACAATAGTTTATATTTTTAAATTTTTTTGTTATTGAATTATATGGGAAACAACCAGATTACAGTTATGCTACTTTGGATTTTAGGCAAAATGAAGGCAAAGGAGAACATTTAGACTATGCTATAAGATTTCAGTTCTCTTTCTTTAATCTTTTCTGGAAGCAACAAAACACATTCCAATCTAAGAGTGCAATAAACCAATCATGATTCTGGATAATTTGCAATTTAGATGCTAGTTTATATATTTGTTTTGATTGCAATTTATATGTTACTTTATATCTTTTCAATACCCATTTTTAATTTTTGCCCTAATGATTTGAATCTTCTCACTTTAGAAGGGAGAAGGATACTACTAAGGCGCAAGGTTATTGCTGTCATTTTGCCCTTTATCCAAACAAAAAATTTAATAAAACCTTCCACTTTTCACAAAAGTTTATGCAATTTTTATAACATTTAGCCCCTGCAAATCACTCCCAAACAAGTGCTTAAAAAAAATAATAATAAACAAATAAATAATAATAATAATAATGATTTGGAGTGTTTCATGGAGTTTGGGAAGTATGGATATGCTAGTTGAACCGTTTAGATAGTTTATGGATTTTTGGGTCGAGCGACTCGTGTGGGTCCCACGCCAGAATTTTTGGGTTTTGGAGTTATTTTCTTAACTGAAAAATAATTATCTTGGTCGTCATTTATATAATTCATGAGGGTGGAATGGTCATTTGATGATGTGATGGCATGGTTGTAGTTTAATGAAGAGGTGTGAGCGTTTTGGTCATTTCTTTGGTCCACCTTTTGACACTTAAGTATGCACTTGGCAAGTTTCTAGCCACAATTTGTATGACTCCTCACGTAGAAGGGAACTTCAGCTGATGGGTTCCTTATGTTAATTCCCTTTTCTTCTTTCTTTAACCAATTTCGTCCTCCATTAGAGGGGTTTTGAAGCTCAAAATTGAGAGACTTGTGGTGAGAGTTTGATGTTGAGGTGTGAATAAAAAATGACCTAGAGGGAATGAGGTTTCCATTGATATATTATTTCTAGTCATTCCTTAATCCATAGGTTTCAGAAAGTGTCTTGAAAAGAGGAGGATCTTAGTTGTGCTTCAATGGAGAGTTCTTCATCTTCATCATCTTGTTGGTGGGTTCGATCTATCCTTGGGATAGCTTGGAGGTGTTTGTTCCTAGGGTTTAAACTCACTTCAGGTAGGATTGTCTAACCCTCAATTCCTTTGCCTTTAATCAGTTAATCTCTTTCAATTTAAGTTGTAAAGTGTATAAAAATGAACCTGAAGCATGCTGAAACTGTTTGATTGAAATTACATGCTACTGTTTTGCTCAAATTTTTGAAAATTCGTAATTTATCTTTTAGAGATAATTTGATATTATGATAATATAGTTAATTAGCTTTCATTGAGATTTGGTTTCATTTAAATTGGTTGAGAAATGAATTTACTATGAATTTTTGAAGTTAGAGTGTTCTTGCTGGAAATTCTGGGTTGTGGCAGATTCTGTTCGAGTCTTTCTCATCAAATTTGCTTTTAATGGTAAGGTATTTTGGTGAAGTAAAATTTTATCTTGAAAATAAAGTCTTTGAACTTTCAGTGGCCTTTGGATTCACTCAATTTGGATGAGAATTAAATTTTTTATGATTTTTCAAAGTTGGAAGCAACAGGATGGAAATCAGTTTTCTTTGCAGAATTTATTTCGAAATTTTGGGTCAAAACCGTTCCAATTGGGAAGGGATTTTGTTAAACTAAATTGACATTTTCAAAGTATATTGTTTAAGCTTTCATTAGACTTTAGAATCACTCAATTTGACTTAGAATTGAAATTGTTATGAATTTTCAAAGATGGAGGTAGCAAACTGCGTATGAATTGTTAATAACTAGTAGGGGTTGTTTTAACCCTCACACCCTTTGTTTCCTTATGAATTAAATCCTTTAAATTGAACCATTATATGACTTGAATTAGGCTTTCTCTACAAGCATGTGGTGTAATTATAATCTGAAATTTTGTAACTTAGACAAAAATGATGTGTTATGTGTTTTAGATATGAAATTTGAACTCTTAAAATGTTGTTCATATTTATGTGTCTAAAAACTGAAATTCTAGTAATCAAAATGGTTGTATTGTTGTTGTTTGAAAAGCTAGAAATTATATATTTAATTCACTTCAATTATGAGCTGTTTTGTTATAAACTTGGTGTTTTAATAATGTTCAAAAACTAAATGATACATTGTCTTTGAAACATGCTGGCATGATAAATTTGCTGCCAAGGTGTGTGCATAGAATTCTACATGTTTTCCATGTCTAATAACTTCTATGTTGTTTAGATTAGATGACAACATGCTTGAGTTGATCTCTTGAAGGCTGTGATAGTATGTCATTGTGAAGCTTGCTGCCATGATAAATTTGTTGCCAAAATATGTTTATAAAATTGGATTTTGATGTGAGTAATGATGTGATATTATAATATTGTGAAGCATGTGCATGCATCCATAGCATTGGGCATGAAAGAAAAGGGAAAAAATTTGAGTTGAAATGGAAAATTGTTTTTGAAAGAAATAAAAGAAAATATTTTGGGAAATGTTTTGATGAAAATTTTGCGAAAAACCTGCCTATGGTTCCGTGGCGTTAATGTGATCTAGAGAGAACTAGGGAGACTGCCCTAGCGTGGTTGAGTTAACTGGCCCCCAAATGACGCCCTGGAGCTTGCCTTGTGGTCAGGGACAGTTAGCCAATCCTTTTCTTGTGCCGCCATGGAGCTGCCATGGGACGGGTTGCATTAACGGTTTGGAAATGATGACAGAAGTGGTTTTGGTAAAAAAAAAATGGGGAGCGACATCGCATGACATTGCACACATTGCATGGCATATCCATTCATGACTTGGTTTATAAATGTGATATTGTGGTTGTTTCTCTCCCGGCATGAATGTGGTAATTATGGAGTAATATAGATGGATATTCTCAGTTTGTGTTTATGATTAGACATGGGTAGTTATCCTTTTGTCTAGGTACAGTAAATCAATAATGCTAAAGGGTTCCTTATGTATTAATAGAAGGATAGTCTTTTCACGGTACAGTGGTTTACTTTTAGACTGATGGTTGTGCTAACTAGAAAGGTGATACTTTGTATAGAAAGTTGTATTAAGGGGAATGATTTTGACTCTACTTATATGGCACTTCATATTTTTCTGTGTTGACTGTTTTGTGAGATAGTATGATGATGTAATGATTATTTTCTCCTGATTTGTATGATCCCCTTTCCGATTCCTATTCTTTGTTTAGATTTATGGGGGTATTAAGGAGTGGTGGTTAGGCATTTCTTGCTGAGCGGTGGTTGTTCATTCCTATTATATATACATTTTTTTTAGGTTACGGACAAGAGGTCGTAGAGGGATTTCCTCCACAGCCATGGATGGATGTTGGGTTCCATTTGGTTATTTATCTTTGTCTAAATGAAAAATGTATATTTTGAAACCAGTATGTATAATTGTAAATATTTTTTCTAAATAGATCGTGTTTAAATATTGTAATTAAAGGATTGTGGGATTTTACGTATGAAACCCACTTTCATATTTTTAGATAATGTGTGAACAGGGAACTTTATTTAAAATGATTTTGAATCAATGGATTTTTCTATTATCAGCTTTGGACATTAAAGTTTTATTAAAAAAAAAATTTGACATTGTCCCAGGGCTCGGTCAGACATTTCTAAATACGAGTATTTCTTTGTTCTGTTTTATATTCACAACCGAGCTTAATGTCTAGGGTCGTGACAATCTATAATGTAATAATGATGTCAACACTTACCACATAAAATTAATTGGATGCATTAGACATTTGGACTCCTTATCTTTACTCTTTTTAATAACTTTTTCACACTATCATTTTCAACATCAACATTTACTTAATTAATTAAGTGCACTAATTATTAGGGGTGGAGCCGAAAATTAAATTTAGGGGGCACAGTGTAAAAAAAAAAAAGTCAATAAACATGGCAATGACTATAGATTTTTCAAATCAATGAGAAAAGAAGAAAAATTACTCAAAATAATATGTCAATCAATGAGTGTTTAAAAAAGATAAATAGTTAAAAAAAAAAAAATTTAAAGGAAATAAAAATAAAAGAGATTTGAAAGGGAAAAAAATTGGATTTTGATTCAAAAGGGAAAATTTGACTTTTTTTTAAGGAAATTAAATAAATTTTAAAAGTAACAAAAAGAAGGAATACAAAATTTAAGAGATGATTTTAAAAAATAAATAAAAATTTCTTCACCTAGCATACACTGACTCACTAATTATGAAATATCTTTCCATAAGAATAAGTTTAAAATTTCACTCAGTAATTAAAACTCACCACTATAACACCAAAATACTAAATAAAATAAAAAAAATTGTATTCCGAAGAAGCTCAAAATTTTTGGGAGAGATAGAATCATAAATTATCAATTTATTTATTTATTTTTAAGAGAATAGGACTAAAACGGTGCCGTTTGGTGTATACTGAATATATATACCCACTTTCATATTTTTATATCACCACAAACCCTCCAAACACCACAAACCCTAGAAACCCTTCTCTCATTCTCCAGATTCTAAAGCGTTCGAAAGGTTCGTATTTTCTCAAACTTTTGATTACTTCTATTGTTTCTGTCTATCTATCTTTTTTTTTTTTTTTTTTTTAGATGTGAGAAACAGTGATATGGGTCTTCTTTTCCATGTATTGAAATTTTTTTTAAGTTTCAGTCTTTATAGATATATTTCCAAGGTCATTGTGGAGGTCAATGGTTTTTTCTCATAACGCCCATCTGCTCACAGAATCAGCCGCTTTGTTATAATCTCTAGAAGTCCATATACCAAGTGGAAGTGAGGGAAATTAGATATCAGTTATTCAATGTCGTGTATAATTACTATAGATAAAGGGTCTGAAGGATGGAACTTAATAATATTTAAGTAGTCACATTCAATGACCACTTTGTCATAACCCCAATTTGCCAGAACTTTCAAACCTTCTCTCAGAACTAAAGCTTCACCAACCTCAGCACTAGCAACTGTAGAGAAGAAAAAAGAAGCAATACAAACAGGACAACCTCTATGAGTTCTCAACACTACTCCACCACTATATGTTTTAGATAGATCATGAAAGGCTCCATCCATGTTCAACTTTAGTCTTCCTTACCACCGGAGCAATCCAACCCAACCTGATGTGGGAGCTACTGATGAATCTGAATCCATCTTGTGAACTATGGGTTCCATAACTACATCCCAATATTCTTGAAAATAATGGACGGCTTGTTCCCTAATCAACACCGGATTCCACGTAATCCCATTGAACGATCTTTCCACACTTGCCAACAAATAAAAGAAGCAAGACTAAACGGCTTATTTTATTTTGGTCAGGAACATATTTCCATAAATCATATAACCAATTCCATTTTTGAATTCAAGAGTTGTGACGACCCTGAATTTTTCAACCCAGTGTGTCCTGTGATGACCCAAAACGAATCCAAAATACAGAAGCAAAAGATAGAACAATGGTCTCTAGAGATATAACACTCCTCTAAGACACCAATGTGGCCCTCAACGAAGTCACGAAACCCAAAGGAAGAAAATGCAGAAGCAACGTTTCAAAAACGGATAGGAATGAACCTAGGGACAAAATGGTCATTCCACACTGAAATGGGTGTTACCGTGCATACCGTTGGAAAGACAACAAAAAATTAATAAAGATAGACTCAAGAATCACTTGATTCGAAGTCCGGACGGCAAAGATATCAAGTTCTGAAGTCGAATGAAGGGAAACCCTATCCCGGTTCGAACCAAAAATAGACACTACCTTACTAAAACTTGAATATCTTGAGCTAAAAGAATAATATGAATCTAAAATTGGTACCATTGGAAAGCTTACTTCAACGCGGTCAATTTAGACTCAAGAATCACCTGATTCGGAATTAAAACGAAGAAGATATGATAATTTGAAGTCGGAGGTGCAGTGCTGAACCAAGACACACATACACCCGTGAACAGTACCTCGAGCGCTCGAGCAAGGGCTTCGAGTGCTCGAAAATTGCCCCGAGAGTTCTGCCCAAAGTTAGAGCGCTCGAACCCCCTTTAGAGCGCTCGAACTGCTAAAAGCTTAGCAGAAATCTGAGTTTGAAATGTGATTTTGAGGACTTTCTGGGCCTTTTTGAAAAAAACACAAAGAATAAAATACCCTCAAAATTATGTTTTCTAGCCAACCATGCCAAAAGAAAACTTTATTTTTCATGTGAAAATCCCAAAATGCCCTTAGATTAGATTAGGCTCATAGCAGCGAAAATGCAACTTTGCCTCAAGTATGCATTTGACCTCAAATGCATTTTTAGGCTAAAACGAATATGCACGCAAATGTAATAAGTGATTTTGAGCATGCGGGAATGGTCCGTGGCTCCCAGAAATGGTCGAGTTAAAATCCGACCCCCCAACGGCCAAAAAGGCGAAAATGAATTTGAAATGGATATTTTGAAAACCAAAATTAGGAAATGATTTCAAACGACTGTTTGGCCCTTGGCCACACTTCAAACATGACTAATGAGACCTAGTGGAGGTGCCGGAACACACTTTGCACCTCCCGATTTGAAAACGAACCCTTAAAGGCTCGGTTTTAATTATTTTGGCCCAAAATGCAATGTATGAGACTAAAATGCAAAAGTGAAGACAAATTGGTGTTTGGCCCTTTGCCACATCTCATACATGGTAAATGGATACTAAATGATGAATTACACACTCGATGTACACTCCAGTGCAAAAATGACATGGTAATTCACATGATTTTCATAGCATTCACATTAGAGACAAATTTATACATTTTTCAATACGCAAGGATTTCAAATGAAGTTTGGCCCTCAGCCATATATCATATACATCGAATGAGTGCCAAAAAGTGTGCTTAAGCACATATTACAAGTCAAAGGTAAAAAAAATGACATTTTGGCCTACTTACACAATACAATTCAAAAACTGGACTTAAGCATGCTAACACTTGTATGTGATCAAGAATGCATTTAAAAGGACTTCAAGTCTCCAAACCACCCAAGGAATGCTAAATGTCATGAACCAAGTCTTCGTACCTAAAATATGTCCCAGTATCGTAGGGGTGAGCAACATAAATGAGATACCCCTCGGATCCGAGACACGGGTTGATCAGGCCCAGGCCCAAACCCGAAGGAATATCAAACAATTAATATTTTATAGTGAACACGGAATACAAAATAAATTAAGAAATGAAATTAAAGCTGGAAGGAACTAAAAATAGAATCCGCAAAATATTATAATTATTAAAATCCATCAAACCCAAACTCCAAAACTCCATCAGTTTACAACTTGGGAATCCATCTCTAGTGGACCCCTATTAAACATCCAAACGAAAGATAGAACAACTGTAATAAACTTCCAGAAATAAAACTATAGAGAGAGCCCTACATCGTCGGAAGAGTGATTAGAGACCTCTGCTCAGCACGAACACGTCTAAGCCTGGAACTGTCGTGTACCTGAAAAATAGAAGTGGGTCAGGCCCATGCGCAAGTTCTATACTACTACAATCCAAACAGAGGTCCGATACGCATGTACATCCTAAACAATTCAACAATAGCTAATAGTCCGTAAATATATATATATAGTCACACTAAAGGACTCTCACTGGACTACAGGCCGGTCTCAACCTGAATAAAGGTAACATGCTAAAACGCACACGAAGTGGGCATATGTACCTATACCTAAACAGGGTACACCTCCAACCATCGTAGCCAGCTACATATCCTGATGCATATACGCTCCCTAGCCATCGGTCCTGAGGCTCAAGCTCATACCGAGGCACCATAACAGTACATATATAAAATCCATCCAAAATCCCTGGTATTGCCGCTCAACAAGTAGTTGCCATGACATTACAAATCCACGGGACTTAACTTTTAGTTAATCCCATCCTTATTCCAAGTAGGTGGGTAATGGTATTGTTTTAAAAACCAAACTCATCCTTAGTATGCCACCGTCCCATACCGGTGCCTACTTTCCAATCCTCTAGTAGTCAATAATATCAATAAATCAAGTATATATCAACTAAATTCCAACATCCAACATTCAATGTTAGCAGTGATAAAATAAACATTGATAACCAGGGTCACAACAACAACATATACATGCCCAATTTAAGTTGTTCCCTCTAGTCTGATATAAAGACAGAATTAATTAAAACTTCCATTTAACACCTTACAAATGACATACAGATATGTAGGGTATGTATCACAAAATCCTAACCTCCACAGTTGATACTAACTGTGATAATGTAAGCATCAAAACAATATTCACAGTATGTATGTAGACATGCTCAAATTATAGTGTTCCACAAAACCGATCTAGTGTTAAACTCAAATCCTCCTAGCATTTAAGTTTCAACAGTTGCTATTACAGAAGTTAAGATAGCTATCATCTAGACCCATCCTTCCAATAATTTATACTAGCATTGGTAAGGAAAAACGTGAACCACAGAACCACAATACATCCACAAACATGCTTAGTCTAGGTTGAACAAGCATACAACACTATTGTAACTACCAGTTTCATAGCAAAACAGATATCATTTTAGTTTGGTTTAATCTTCATTAATCCTGAAATCATTTAAGAGTTCAAAGAGTATGAAGCCTAAGGGAAAGAGTAAGGATATAATCTTGCCTCAGAAACTTTTGTTCAAAGTTTCAACGTCGTCTTCTTAAAAAATCCCGGCGAGTTCCAAAACCCGGTTACTGTTCACAGGTACGAAACACTATTCCCGAACTCAAAATCTGATCTCCACCGTTCAGATTATGCAACACTGAGTCATGAACCTATCCTCCAAATTTCAGCTCGATCGGACCACGGACGAAGCAGGATCGGATGTTTGATGAAATCTGGGCAGAATAGAAAAAAAAACCTATGCGACCCAGTTACTGTTCCCGAGGTTAAACTCTGATCTTCACCAT